AGGCCATGACAGTGCCTTGTCGAGACGGGGTCCAACGGAAACTCCAGGACACAGCGGTACCAACCAAAGCTCTGCTCCTCCACTGTCCACATCTTGCATTTGCAGATTTTCCTGACCCAGAGGACTTGATATGGCAGAAATTTGGAGCCTTTTCAGTCACTACTAAACCCAGTGTAGAGGCCTACGTCATGGAGCTCGAGATGATGAAAGGTTTGGCCATTGATGCGGATACTATGAAGGCTGCAAGTCACATTTATCTGTATCTGGCCAACAACAGCAAAGAGATCTCGGATGCTCAGCGGTAAGATTCTATTCAATTGATCCCGGGCGAGATAGCTAACCCGAGCAGTCAAGCCTTCGAGCACGCCAAGACGGTCTATCATCCAGTCCATGGTTGGCTCACCCCGAACGAATGCACTTGGAAGGCTCCTGCCTGCCTTGAGAACATCCGACCCCTTGCTGAGTTCTACCCTAAATGTGGGACTTTCTTTCAAGAGATACTCCAAATCCCGGATGCCGGTATTCCTGACGTTATCAGAGAGTTGGGGCGTTTGGGAGGCCTATCAGCGGACACTCGAAAGGCACAGTCGATAAAGACAGTGCTCCTCTTCTTGTGCAAGTATCTCTCAAGTATGAAGGATCCTGCAAAAATGCCTCAGTGCTTCGAGCAAAGAGCACTCCCATTTTTCAAGGTTTTCCCCATGCTACCTACCACGCACAACTCAGGAGGTCCAGACAGCGCAACGTTCTTGTCTCTCAATGATAGCTGGTTCATTGCCGACCGCACGGCATTACGGACCGCTTTTGAGGGGAAAGTTTCCCTCCTGGATTTCGACGTCAAAGATATTGACAAGATCATGCCATTGGTAGCATGGCGTCACCTCTCTCCTCGACTCCTCAGCAATGCGGTAGAAGAGCATATCACTTACGTGAGCGCGCCGATAGCCCATCCACTTTGGTCCGAAAACATACAGAAGAAAGCAAAGTACATTGCGCTGTAAGTCACGTTCACCTAAACGTCATTGCATCTCACTGACCTCGTATAGCCTCGGGACCAAAGCAACGCCGACGATTCCTACCTTCAAGGTTTCGCTAGCCTTGGGCATTTCAGTGCAAAGAGCAATCGGCGAAATAGTGGGCGAGTCTCGCAAAGGGCACATTTCTATCACGGAAGAGAAAGATGTCATTCATATCGTCGTCTTGCAGAACCCTTTCAAGGATACCAATCGACGGGTCGACATGGAGCTCGCTGACTTATTTAGCCGGCTATTTGCAATCCAGAACGTCGAGCGCGGCCTTCTCATCTCACACATCCTCAAAGGCAGCTTTGCCGACGTGCGAGACATGTTGGAAGGAGTCAACATTCGTGTTCTCTTCGACGACGACCTCGACGTCCCCACCGGCGTGTACAGCTCAATGACCAACTCGACGGAAGATCCCACCGTCGCTTACAGAGAGCTGACCAGTGCAGTCGGGATGGGGGATGTTGCCAGGCAGTCAACTCCCACAATGTCCTACGCTCAGGCCTATGATAGAAGTTTTGGGGACGATGATTCAGACTATGATCCCCAATCTTACAGGTTCGAGGAAGTTGGATTTGCGGCAGAAGATTTTGTATGCGACGACTCTATGGCACGAGGAAAACTCCGCTAACAAATTTGGTAGGTCAATTGCTACTTTTCCAAGGAAATACCCGACTGGGAGCCCGAGAAGCAAATGGACAAGCCATCTTCGGAAGAGATGTGGTTACTCGGACTTCCTTGGTGATGAGTCAGTCACAGCTGATTTCACGTACACGGACAAAGGAGGAGGATACATGCTCCCGCTACTTCATAACGTGGGCATCGTCGAGGAGACCTGGTTTCGCCGGACCATCACGTATCACATGGAAGTGAAGGGAACGGTTCGCGGACTCGAGGAGCCATTCTACCTCAGCCAGAAGCAGATGAATCTGGTGAGTTCTGCTTGCTCTCGTCATGGGGCCGTCCTTCCTGGGGAAACATACCAAGCTTACTAACTACTGTAGACTCAAAAGTATCGCTTGGACAAGAGCAAGATACCGACGGATGTCTTCATCATCGTGCGGGTCTACGAAATTGAGGGTGAGAAGCCAAGCTTCCGTTTCTACCTCGACCCGTGGGCCAAGATATTCAATGGAGAATTGGCCCTGACATCGGATCATGGATACTGTGTCGCGCCTTCGAGCGTTAGATGGACTTGAGACACGCGGATAAGAAGCCGAAAAGTGTTTCTGGTTGAATGGTACAAGCACGCGGGGCTGCTAAGTTGTAAGAATAGATGAAGACAATGTAGAAATAACCTTTCTCCCAGTTCACTTCGGCGCTCTTGATCTTCGATGAATGCTCGCCTCATCATCAGCTTCTTCGACCTTTGGCCGTCCAAGTGGTTATCGCATGCAGTTGAAGAATGCAAGCGCCACCCCCGGACAAAACGAACCCAATTCAACCCACCGGAGACTTTCCAGCCCCGACTTGCGGAGCGTTCACGATCGAGGGCTTCATCGAGACATGACCAGCCGGGCGGGGAGTGAGCATGGCAGCTAGATGCGACCTTAAACGGGACGAGCTTTCGCGTATGAGCAAAGAATATGAATAGTGGAGAAAGTCGGACATTGCTCAGAGTTACCGGAAGAAAAACAAAGAAACGCTTCATCGGTTGTTGATATTCGGGCCACAAGAGAATCGTTGCGGGGAGTTGCACGGCACAAACATGGGCACAATAAGACGGGGATCAGAGCTCGTGTCGAGTGGGTTTATTGCCAGCGGGGATCGGCATAGCAGCACAAGGAAGATTTCCAAGGTGTGAGTCGAGCAGCGACTAGGAGCAAGAGGTCCGAACGTTGGTACCGAAGCGAACTCCACGTTTTATTTGGTAGCCGAAGGTCGGGGAAGCTTCCAAGTCGTCGAGGAGTTGGCTTGCTGTTATTAATATCGTTCGTGTTTACTCCACGAGCTCGCTGCCGGGTTGCGTGTTGCAACACATGGCAAAGTTGGCGGTCAGGAGAAACGGCTACAGAATGTGCGTGGAGAGCGGCAGAGTGCCAGCATTCAGCAGCGCGGTATCGCGGCAGCGCCATCTTTCTTGATGAATGAACCAGCCGAGATGAGTTTGAGTGAGTAAAGAAAACCCCTCGCCTGATAAGGCAAGTCTAGAAGGTTCAATGTTTCTTTACCTTTCTAACTAACCTTTCTCTTTCCTTCTCAGTAAAATTAATCAGAAACTCTACAGTATGCATCCCAGTCTCTTCGGCCACAGAGTTACCAGAAGGCGCCTAGGCAACCTGCAGAATAGAGTAATTCATTGTTTCTTTGCTGCAAGGAACATATTGGCAGTGACAAACTCTAATGAAATTGGTCAAATCAGATGTTTACCGTGGGGCCCTTTCTCTCTTTTCCCTCCTTACCAAAGTCACCAGGACGGCAAAAACGGCCATTGGTCTCTCTGGTTTGGGTTTCCCCGTGTGGTAGGTATTCTGACTGACCCCTGGCCCCTGGTCTGCTGGTCCCGCATGTCACCTCGCACGATGTCATGCCAGCCCGGCACTCAGGTCGTAGAACCGGCCGGCCATCAACTCGCTCTTTTCGGGTGCTTTGTGCTACTACCAAGACGGCGACGCGTCAGGTTTGTCGGGCCTTGACAACTTAAGTCATCTCTGTGCGGATAGCTTGCCCGGCGGCCGATCAGCTAAAGAAAGTGAGAGCGGCAGACACACCGACTGACAGAATCTCCGAGGGGGCACCGGGGGCAAAGCAGGACTGATGGGAAGGAAAAGTACCGACGCCACAGAGCAGATAGATGATGGGCAAGTCGAGGCAGTTCGATTCAATCCGATGGTTGTCTCAGCACAGCCAGCCGGCTCAACGTGTTCTTGGTTGGGCTCAAGCCACCTGCCATCCAATCAAAACGCACAGATGCCCGTATTTCGTCCGTCTCGTAGTCGTCTTTCGGCTGTCACACTTTTCATGAGGCTGGACGCTAAGCCAAGGTCGACGGGCAATCGAGAGTCAGGACACGAGCTAGAGAGCTGAAGCGTGAGTTGGTTAGACGGACGGACGGACCGCGAGACAGCGTGGATCAGCTAGATAGCTAGACAGCAAGATAGCTGGATGGTGGACAACCTCGCGAAAGAATCCAGCTCCTTGCGCGCCAGCCCGTTGCTCGAATGAGCTCGAAAAAGGGATACCTACATCAAACAGCAATTCGCTGACGTTCCATTGGAGCCAGAAGAGTCAATTGGATGTCACCTCAATGACCGGCGCCACAAATCAGTTCACTCGCCCAGCTCGAGAATGATCACGCTGATTCCCCGTCTCTTCTGCCCCTGCCAACCCTTTTCCACCCGGAGCCAACTTGCCATTGACCAAAGAGATCATGGTTGCATGTTCCTGGCCAGAACCCGGTCCGTAGCCTAGGGTCTAGTTGTAGGTCGAATGGGTCCAGGTCCAGGATCCCAAGTCCCAGTGTGTGTTCTTCGCAGTAGCTCGACGGCCCCAAGGTTCACACCCCCTTGCTCGCCAGTCAAGGTCGCGTCGCCCCAGCAGAAAAGCGAAAAGCTAACGCCTCCCCAAGCGGAGCTAACGTAACCCTCCACCCTCCACGAGTCCACCCCAATGGATATTGGAGACGCCGCCGTCGCGCGCGCCCGCCGCTGCGTGGTGCGGATATTTGGGATAAGCTTTTTGCGAGCAGAGGGCAGAAGGGGAAAAGCTTCAGAGTCAGGGCCAGGGGTCCCTCTCACTCGCTCGCTCCTGTCTCTGTCTCCCCCGAAGGAACGTGGTGGCTTGCCGGCGCGCGTTGGACTCATATTTATGGCCCATCCCGTCTTCTCGGGTCGACGTTGATTGCCTCTTCTTGATTCCTGTCTTGCTCAACTTCACGTCCACTAATCTCAACGTCGTCCACCTCGTCACGTCCTATATCTTACCCGATATATCAACCTAATACCGTGTAATACTCAAAACAACCACACAACGTTCACAATGAAGTTCACTCTCGCCCTCGTTGCCGCCGGCCTTGTCGTCGCCCAGGACTTCTCTGGCCAGCCCTCCTGCGCTGTATGTTATAATCCTTGGGCCATCCCTATGACCCCGAGCTAACATTCCTTCCCCTCAGATTCCCTGCCTTACCGATGCCATCCCCAAGGTTGGCTGCGCCCTGACCGACACCGCCTGCCAGTGCACCAAGGAGAAGCAGGAGGCCCTCGTCCCCGTCGCCGCCTCCTGCCTGCTCGCCGCCTGCAACTCTGCCGACCTCGGCAAGGCCCAGTCTGCCGCCGCCGCCGCTTGCGCCGCCTACGCTGCCACCGCTGGCTCTGCCCAGCCCAGCGCTACCTCTGCTGCGGCTTCCGCCTCCGCCTCCGCTGCTGCTTCCTCGGCTGCCGCCTCTGTCTCTGCCTCCGTCTCCGGTGCCGTCTCCTCTGCTCTCGCTTCCGTCAGCGCCAGCGCGAGCGCCGCTCTGTCTTCCGCCTCTGCTTCCGCCTCTGCCATCGTCACCTCTGCCCGTAACGCCACTGCTTCCGTCAGCAGCGCTACTCTCTCTGTCTCCCGCACCGCTTCTACTGCTGTCACTGGCACCGGTACCGGCGCCAGCGCTACTGCCACTTCCACCGGCAACGCTGCTCCCCAGGGCGGCGTTGCCGTTGGCGGCCTTGCCCTTGCTGCCATTGCTGGTATCGTTGCTGCTCTGTAAAGGGGTTGACGTTTGACGATGGTCATGGGAAGGGACTGCCTCCTGGAAAGGGGTAGCATGTATGCGCATACTGTGTAGACGAAACTACGCCATAGGAATTGTATGTGTAGGATGAATTAAAATAACTGGACGTCTAGACTTAATGAGGATGGGCGGAAGAATTAGGAAGAAAAAGTTCATGATCATGGCCTGTTTTGTTGCTATTGGCGCAACTGTCTAGTAAGGACACAGGATAACATACTTTTTAATCAAATATACCAAATACACAAGATTAACAATCCGCTTACGCCCTCATAATTGCCTCTGTTTCGCTGCCATCGTTTCCGCTCAGCGTTCAGTACATGCTATCGGCAGCAGACAATCTAGACTTTATGACGAGAAAGGCCAATCAGATCTGAGATCGGATGGAATCAAGCGCTGCTTGAGCCACAGGCAAAAGCTTCGTTGGTGACACCATTACTGACTGACGTTATCCTTTTTGCCCCTCTCAAGAATGCTGTACGCTTTCGGTCTTCCGATCACTCTGAACAACAGCGGTAGGATGGCAAGAAAACATTTTGCCCGAGTGCGCCTCTACGAAATTGGGGGAAGAACCACACCTTTCAGCCATACGTCAGCCTTCGTGGAGATGCTCATCCCACAAATGCTCATTAGCGGCGGAGTTCTCGCAAGAGCTTTCAAACTCTCGACACGATTGTCAGAAAAAATGCACCAAATTCTCATAATTCCCTGCGCCAATCTTGTTCATCGTAGATTAGGATGGCTAGGAACTCTCTTGTTCCACCATAGCTATGCAACCGGTAAAACAACGATGATATTGGACTCCAAGTCATTTCGCTACAGCTTTATATTGAGGCCTGTTCTAGCCGCGGTTATACTATTCCGCACGCAAGCTGACCTGTTCAACTCCATGTTAGGAGAGGTAAGTCGCATACTCCACATGCCACCAGGGCAACTAACATAACTTCGATGATCAGATATTTTGGCTTTGGGTCATTCTACTCTGGGGCACCTCAAAGCTTTTCATTGCTGCCTTTCGAGCACGAGTATACAATGAATTATTGTCGGATAGCAGCCCTCAAAGCCCCCGTTGGCAGTTCGGTCAGGTGCTTCCAATGCTCCTCCTGTTGGCACCGCTTATTACTCTCTTCAGCTTGTTTTTGCGAACTCAACTTGTACGAACTGCAGGATAAACAACATGGAGATATTACAGGCTTCAACGCCTAGTACCGATCGAGGCCAGCGTACATATACACATGAGCCTTCATTGCCAATCGCGGCGGCACCAGTTACGGCAGCAAACTTTGGCAATACAATCGCCACGGACCGAAACGATAACGGGAGCCACATGAGTTTATTGCTTGCTGATTCCGAGATTGTATATCGCGAAATGCAGTGGGTGTTGCCTTATCTGACTTTAAGCCTAGGTGTGATTATGGCACATGGGTACTTTCTCTTTCGTTACGCGACCGCTACGTTCGAAGCTATATTTAGGTTGTTTAATGGTCTTGATTCGGAGCCTGAGTAGCATTGGCCATTTTGGAGTATATGTTCACGGAGACAGGCGTCGCCTATCTTGTTCCTTTGAGCTTTCCATTCGCAGGACACGCCACCATCCTGGTCGGGCTGACGGCCCTCGATTGGGCTAGTCATCCCTCTGCAGCATTCGGCTATCACTTGAGATCCGTTATGTTCTGGCTTCTGACTGCTGTGATATACGGCTTGTACACTTGGATCATCTGCTGGGACGTCATCGATTCAGACTGGAAGATCCGTGCAGTCATTCTCGTCACGGTGGTGTTGTATGGACTTTACATGATTGCGTGTCTGGTCAGTCGTCTTGAATGTTTTAGATAGAGACTGAGGGACGAAAACCAGGTCTACCGTTGAAACAGGATGAGATGACAGCTCCAGCCTGGTAAAAGGGTGTCCTATCAGCATGTGAGCCTTGCAAAGGGAATGCTACCGAGCTCGATGGGTGGATTTGAATGAGTTGCTGTAAGACAGAAACTGCTTCTGGTCAAATCTGACGAATGTTCTTGCCAGCAACCTGGACTTCTACCTGATTTAGGCCCTGGAAATTTACCAACTATCGTTGCCAAAATTCCGTGATGGTGACAAACTTCGGAAGACTTCAAGAGTCGGAGGATCCCGCCGTCAAATCAGAGGTTGCCGGACACCCCAGATTATTGACTTCAGAACCCTCCCCTCCCTTCTTCGAAATTCAGCTGGAACTCTACGGAAACTACAGAAGAAATAGTCTTGGCACACCATCTGTGAATCAGCTAAGGCTGACTTACAGGGCTTTGAGGTCAGATGTCACGGTCTGAGGGACGCCGTCAGCCCTACGCCAAGTGGGGCCGAAGGCCGGATCTGATCTTGACATCGGCGGGTGCGGTCCGTTTATTCGGCCCTACCCTGTTCTATTCGGCGCCGCTGAAGGAACTCGCAGCTAATGAAATAACTTAGTTTCTCTAGATATTTGATTCATTCGCCCGGCTGCGCTCAATATAGCCCCAACCGGATGGGGAGTCGCGCTTGCAGAACATCAGGCAGCTCACGGCATGCAGGGCGGCACATGCTGATGGTGATAGGTCAGCCTGATCTAAATCAGTGCGCTACGAGTGTCACCGAAGTGGCACAGAATGATTCCCTCAGCAATATTTCAATTCTTGACAAGCCCATGGATCATTCTAATTCGCTAGAAGGAAAGGGAAGCTGACCTCCTTGCGATTCGGGTGCACGATTATGCAGCATCATCATTAGGATTGCTACGTAATCATCGCATCCCACTATACAAGTGGCCATTTAAGAGAGATAGGAAGAACTGTTTCCGCTCATGGTTGTTCTCAGTCTCAGCAATCTCAATTAAGCATCTCCGTAGGTCGAAAACGACTACCCTGGATCCAGATTCTCGGCCGCAGAATAGTAGAGAAATGATAAACACAGTCTGAGGATGTCACAATCCGTGTGTCCAACCAGATTCAACTGCCAGTCAGCTGATGCTTGGGAGCCTAATAGCGATATAGCTGGCTTAGGTGTGAGTTTTTGATCCCGCTGTAGTTATAAGCACAAAAGTCTACAATGACCAGAATCCACGTGTAGATAACTCGCTAATAAGATCTACCTCAGGTCCTGATTGGTTTTATGGGGACAGGATATCTTGTTTTCGCCCTTCTTGTAGTTCATTACTTGGTGGCATACGAGCCAGAGCTTCCTCCACCGCGGCAGACACCGGACGACGAAAGGCCCAGCCAAGCAGCGAGTCTGGAGCACCTAAGGGCGAACCCGCCAGACGTTTCCGCTTCAAACATCGTCACTCATACGGATCCAGTTTACTGGGAGCCAAATCCTATCGACGTGAATCTCCTGTCTTGGGTCAGATCATGGACAGCAAAGCTTTTGGTCTTTCTAGGAGCATCGCTTCCGCTCGTCGGCCAGGCAACTTCTGGACATATCAGTCGTTGTTTCAACAAGGTAAGTAAAGAAACGACATTTTCCATTCATCATAAGTCGGGCTTATGGATTGATGTATTGCGTCCAGTGTATTATCGCCATGTGCGACGTTCAGATAGTCACGGGCATGAGCATTCTCATAGGCGGCTTTATGTGCTTGGGCGAAAACCTATCGGCTCTACATTGGCAGATCATCATATACCTTGCTTGGTTTTCCTGTGTCACGCACCTTTCTGGTTTGACGGTCCTGAGAAGATACTTTCAGACACACCCGTGGGAGAAGTCTCTGAGAATCACTCTCATGTTTGTCTTACTAGTGATCCTCATCGTCGCTATTGTCCCATCCGGCTTTTTCAACTGGACTTCGCCACGGGCTGACGCTTCCGAACCTCAGCCAACTGCAGCTTCAGCCAACACGTCCGCAGCATGTTTCTTTAACCTAAATTGCGCAAAGCAGCTCTACCGAGAACATCTTGCACTGAATTGCACATCAGTCTGTAGCGATTATTCACATAATTTGTATCCTTGTTCTCTCCGCCCGAACAGCAATTCTCTAGATGGATTCAGCTGCAGATGGTTGGCAGGATCATCAGCAATGCAGGAAATGATAATATCAACAGTTCTGCTCTTCTTCGGGTTTGTTTCCAGAACAATCAAGTTGTCGACTCGCGTTTCAAGCGCTTTTCATCGAAGGCTCACCCTGCCAGCGAGCAATTATACCGTTTATTGTCTTACTAAACTAGAAGACTTGGTGCCAGCCTCCGACATACATCTTACGACAAGGTGGCGAGTCCGCACACTTTCACACGAAGCATGGGGAATTTTGGTGGTGAGGCCTACGCTTGCTGTTGTGATGTTAGTGTCGACACACTTCAACCTTTTCAACTCCATGTTGGGCGAAGTAAGTCAGCGGCTCTCACTCCACAGTCACGAAAAAAAAAAACTGATTTTGAGCAGCTGAGCTGGCTGATGGCTATTCTTCTCTGGGGAACTTCAAAAGTCATGTCAGCACATTACGAAGAGAAATATTACGCGAAGAAAGATCAGGAACAACAGCCAGATAAAGGACACTCGCTAAAGTGGGAGTTCGGGCAAGTTTTACCCGTCTTGCTCCTCGCTGCTCCTCTTGTCGCAGTTATTGGAACGTTTGCCTCACCCGATGACTCTGGCGAAGCAAATCATCCGAGTCGTCGTCTAGAATCGACGGGCTTTGGCACAGTGGGAGATCGACGTCTCGGCCATCAACAATCTGATGGAAACTCTTGGGAATTGGCACGTTTCTCGGCACCAGAGACGAACTCGACGGCTCAAAGACGAGGTGGTAATGTCCCAAGCCGCGCTGAAACAGACAACGCTGAGTCCATGATCGCTCAGAACCAAAGGATCAGTGGTCGTAATGTCTTTGCGAAAGACCATTATCGTGAGACCCTGTGGATGTCACCCTACATTACCTTCAGCTTTGTGACAATCTGGGCCCATGTCTTCTTCCTCTTCTGGTTCGCGACAGATGCTTTCCTAGTTCCTGATTTTTTCAGCTCCGGACCATCGGGGAAACTTATCAATTCTTTGGACTACCTCTTCACATGGTCTAGTGGGGTATTCTACTTAGTACTTGCAGGTTATCCGGTTGCATGCCACTCAACAATCCTGTTTGGACTCACAATCGACCAAGGGACAAACGCGCGACTCACTATCACGCGCAATTCTAGCCGAAAGCCACTATTTTGGCTTTGGACACTGGGTGTCTACTCGGTCTATGCGATTTATACTTACCTTACGTTTGATGTGAAGAAGCAAGATTACGTTACGTTTGATGTGATGAAGCAAACTTTCAGCTTTCGCCTTGATAATGTAGGAAAATTCGCAATACTTGGACGTATCAGCGCTGGCTTGTACGCGCTGTATCTCTTGGGGTGCTTGGTTCAAATGGCAACGACTTGGAAAAACTTGAGAGCAAGTGAAAGACTCTGAACTGTCGTTCGATATTTTCCATTTCAGCTAGGCTCTCTTATCTTGCCATATATTGCTTAAGTAGGTAGGTACCTCACCTTAGGCTGGCTACTCGGTTACCTTCAAGTTCACTTGAGCAAGCGCAGCATGGGTTGGTACAATGATTGTTTTCTTCAAATTGCATCTGATATGGAAGAAACCCCGAAATGGACTGCAGTGACGACTATAACTTCGTTCATTAAAAGTTATCCAGCGAACCACCATTGCTGAGCAGTCTGTGACAAACTTGGGAAGGGTTCAAGAGTTGGAGAGAACCCCGCCGCCGCCGGCCCCGCGATTGCCGCCCACTGCAGTACCCCACCACCGCACCCATATAGCACGCCAACACGGGCCATGTGCAACCCAGATCCCGGGCAAGCGCTGACGGACGGGGATCAGGACCCCCCAAAAAGGACGTCTTGGCCGGCGCGCCGTCCACTGGGAGGGAAGGCGGTGGCCCGCTGGGTGGGAAAATGGTTGAAAATCGGCCGGTCCCGCCACGTTGGGCCGGTTGCGGTGCAGCTGTCGCAGTGGTTCTTGTAGGAGCCGGACCACTCAGGCGAGCGGGAGCGTCACATGAAGAAGGAAACTGGCGGGCCCTCCCACCCCCGTGGCCCCCTCAAGGCTCGTGGCGACTGCGATAGCTCCCCACTGCTGGATCCCGACCACCACCACCTTCCCTAGGGCGATAGTGCAGCTGAAGTTTTTTCTTCTTCTTTTTGGGCTATTGGTTCTATACCGACTGGGATGTTGCCGCGATAAAATTCCAACCCTCTTGTCGCATTCTTCCTCCTCATTCTCCTTCCACTTCCCTCTGTTGCGACAGCTCGAAGCAAAGTTTTGCGCCGATACCAAATCGACTACATCACGCGCTGCCTCACCAAAAGGCATCAGCAAACCGCTTCGAACCCCTCCGACGATCATCATATGTTGCGCGCCGCCTCGGCCAACTTCTTCGCATACCACTTCCCGGCGCATCGTCCATGTGCCGTGCTATCGTAAGATAGACAAAACAGCGAGCGACTTGAGTCTTTGCGCTTGCTGCCAGGGGACGAGAAAGACCAGAGCAGTTACTATCACTACAAATCCATACCAATAATCACATATCGCGAGAACGAAGCTCGACTGAGAGTTGAGATCGTTTCGCGCAGACGATACATCGTCTGAATACCCTCGTGTGCGCACCAAGGTATGTAGAATAGACCCAGCAAACAAGATGACCTTCAACCACATCAACGTGTGGCAAAGGCAACAGACGACTAACCTCGCCTCAGATCGCTGTATGCCTAGCATCGTATCCCGTCGCTTCGAGTCCATTCTGTCGCTACTGCGCCTACCCTTCACCAGGACCACAGAAACCAACACCGACCCCGGTCACGCCTACGCACCGTTGCCCACCATGGCCGCCGACGACGACACCACCAAGAACCTCAACACCGCCCCGGTGACGACAACACAAATCACCGCCGGCCACGACGAGTCCGAGCTCGTAGGCCAGGGTCTGCATGACATCGAAGCCAGGAAGGTGCACTGGTGGAGCTACTTCACCACTGTCGACTTCTGGATCGTCCTCATTATCGGCCAGATCCTCGCGCTATGCATCACCTCGACGAACACCTTCACCTCCTTCCTCGCTAATAACGGAGTCTCGATCCCGGCCTTCCAGACTGTCTTCAACTACATCTTGCTGTTCCTCATCTACTTCCCCGTCACCATCTACAAGTACGGCTTCAAGAAGTGGGGTAAGCTCCTCCTCCGCGACGGCTGGAAGTACTTCATCCTCTCTTTCCTCGATGTCGAGGGCAACTACTTCACCGTCCTGGCCTACCGCTACACCAACATCCTCTCGGCCCAGCTCCTCAACTTTTGGGCTATCGTCGTCGTCATCATCCTCTCGTTCTTCCTTCTCCGCGTTCGTTACAAGGTCTTCCAGATCGTCGGCATCATTGTCGCCATCGGCGGATGCGGCGTACTCCTGGCTAGCGATCACATTACCGGCTCCAATGGCGGTCCCGGAATCGACATGGTTAAGGGCGACCTATTCGCACTCCTCGGCGCGACCCTGTACGGTGTGACCAACGTCGCAGAGGAGTGGTTTGTCAGCCGCCGCCCTGTCTACGAGGTTCTCTCCTTCATGGGCATGTGGGGCATGTGCATCAACGGCGTCCAGGCCGCCATCTTTGACCGCGAGTCCTTCCGCGAGGCCACCTGGAACGGCCCCGCTATCGGCTACCTCCTCGGCTATACCTTTGCGCTCTGCCTCTTCTACAGCCTGGTGCCGCTGCTGCTGCGCATGGCCAGCGCCGCGTTCTACAACATTTCGCTGCTGACGGGCAACTTTTGGGGCATCATCATCGGCGTCAACGTCTTTGGCTACTCCATCCACTGGATGTACCCCATCGCCTTTGTGCTCATCATCCTCGGCCAGGTCGCGTACTTCCTCGCGGGCAGCATGCTGGGTGATTCCAAGAAGCCGTGGCTGGGTGACAACCAGGAGAACGGTGTTGCTGGTCTCGGCACGGCCAAGTTGAAGGCCATCAACGCGGCGCGCAAGAGGCAGATGGCCGCTGCTGAGCCTCCGGCGTATGCCTGAAAGGGCCGTGTAAGGTCAAGACTATTGAAAATATGCAGTTTTGGTCGAAGAGGCGGGAGGGGGGTTCATGGAAGATTCATGTTGACTTCTTGATCTGAGTGTTTAGCACAGAAGAGTCGTCCTCGTGGCTTGCTTCGCTTGTCAAAGCAAGCCCCCTTTTCTTCCCTCCTGGAAAACTCGCCATCTTTCTCTCATAAAAATATACACTAAAGTTAATATCAATACACTATTGGATACCAACACTCGTTAGTTCCCGCATAAGCTGCCGCTGCCGCGTCTCTGCCGCGTCATGATTGTGAAAACTAGTCAAACGCTGGGCTCTTGACCAGGTTTCCCCAAATGATGAGGACTTCTCTTGACGACGATGACTTGTTTGATGTCTCTCTTGGATGGAATCGGAACTTCTGGAAGCACAGGTCTGGGAGACAGAGAGAAAGGGAGAGGGAAAGAGAAGGCCGCACGGCCCCTTCACAACGACGTCAGGTCCGGTCTTACCGTCCTTATCGTCCCCGTTTACCGACGGGGCGGATGACACTGGTCGTCCGGTGGCCCTCTCAAATCATTGCGCCTCGCTTGAAGACCCAGCGGTCTGGACTCGGGAATTGTTCTCTTTCTGTGATGCGTTATGCGTGCGTGCGAAGCCGTCAAGATGCGACAAGCATTTGCCTTCGATTTGGAGGCTGGAGGGGGCTTCACACTTCCGCGGGCAAAGAGGACAAGTACTTTCTCGAACGCGGTATGGAGTTAACGTATCCCACTCCTCGCATCTGCTCGTCTGAATTCATCTCTCTTCGAGTCCCATAACCTCCAGATGCTATGTAGCATCACCGTGGGTATTTAACTTGAAGCAAGTGCCATGCTTCATGTCTACTACTACTAAGCTTGGAGACTTGAATAACTCTTGCAGCAATACGATGGCACACTCGGGATGCACAGAAAAGGAGGGGGGGGGGGGGAACCTCCCGAGAGCAGTGCGAAACCACGAACCTTCGGCTAACGAAGTATTCGTAGAAAAAAAAGCCCCAGTAGACCAACCAAGACTGCCGGCGGGAGCACGCCTCTTTCGGAGTACACGCTTGCGCGACGTCGTTCACGAAGAATCAAGGGTACGTGCGGCGCAGACAGGCGCCGCAGAAATGGAACCCAGCTACGTAGTAACCGTCGTGCGCAGGCGCCGCAGGGTGCAGTTCTGCATTTTGGCGTCGCATTCACGGCACTGCGACAGAGAGAAGAAAAAGATACCCGCGCACTTCCCGTCCCTCCCCTCCGTCCGCGTCCGCGTCCCAGGTCCAGGGCTCGAGAGTTTTTGATTCTGCGAAACTGACCCCTTACCTGGGCCCTGGGACTCCAGGAGCTTCCTTCTCCTACAAAGCCACGGCTGTCTCTTTACCTTAGCTACTGTATCGGCAATCTACCTTCGTTTGTCTCTCTTTTGCATTTTCAAGTTTTCAACTATAGTAACTTCAGCAAGGGACTGCGGCATGGAATCACATCTTCAGACAACCCCCCCCCCCCCCCCCCCCCCCCCAACACAAAAAAAAAACAAAACACCAAAACCAAAACCAACCAAAAACCAAAACTCGCCCACCACACCGCAACACGCGCACGATGCACCCACACCCACCCGCCCGACCCCCCCCCACCCCACCCGGAAAAAAAAAAACGCGCTTTTTCTCGGCACTAAACAATCGGTTCTCGGCCCGAGCAGAAAACCCCTCTATACGCGGGAGTTTTCTTATCCATCCCCCCTTACCCCCCTATCCCCGTATAGGTGTTCCAAGAAAGGGATCTCGGGCCAAAAAAAAAAAAAAAAAAAAAAAAAAAAAGAGGGTTTCTTGGCGGTCCCCCGTCTGCTTTGCCAAGATCTCTAATCTTGACGAGGCGGCCTACGGCGCTTCGTAGAAAGTTAGAAAGAGAAATAGAGCAGGAAGAGAAAGCGACAGAAGTGGCTCCCGTTTTTGATTACTGAAGTCGGGCAACATAACTAACCACCTTTGTCCCTCGTACTTTAAGTGATGGGTGTTGTGTCTACCTTAGGGTGTAAGCAGCGGTTACTCGCCTGGCAGCGGTTTTCCCATCCCGCTTGCTTCGTCGCCCGATAAGAGAAGAAACAACAACGCCAAGTAAGGGTGAAAAGCCAAGGCCAGGAGGCTCTTCTCGTTCGTGACAAAACGGGCGTACGTTTCGCTCTAAAAAAGACACGACGACCACAAAAAGTCGCGCGCCATTGGGAGACGGGGGCTAGAGAGTTGCGTCGTCGCCCTCTTGCGCCTCACTGAGTCCACGTCAAGGGTCAAAAGGCAGCCGCCCGATTGGCTGTGCCATCTTCCCAAGCTTTCGCCCGGCTCACGTATTACACGTGTATCCGTACGATTGTTACTCTAGACTC